GCAACGTGGCTATGGTGACATGTGATCCGGGACAGAACGCTCCACCCAGCCCCGCCAAAGGTGCAGAATGCCGCCATTGGCGACCCAGGGCCCCTGGCAGAGTTGGATCTCAACCACTTCGAGGAAGCCTTAGATCAAAAGGAAGCGATGGAAGCAGTTGTTCAGGCATGTTTGTGTGCAGTCGTACGTGACCAACTTGGTCGTACGAGGCCGCATGGTGGGGTTGTGCTTTTGCCTTCCGGACAACCTGGCAACATAACAAACGAGCCAGAGCGGCTGAAGCAAGTGGGGACCATCAGTGGCAACATGTGGCAACTCGCCTTGCGTCCTGGGCAGTGCTAGTCTGACGTGAACGGGAACACCAGACCTTCCAGGCCGGCAGTGCCGTGCACTGGTATCTTTTCGTCGAGTTGCCGTTACCCGGGACCTATCTTTTGCCGCAGCGGCCGAAAAACCGAGGCGCGGCAGAAGTTTGCAGGCCCACGTTTCATCACACTGACGCAGCGAGTTTACCGGAACCCCCCGTGCATCTCGCATTGCTATTGCTGAAGGCTGTCAGCAAGGTGTCAATGTGCTCCTGCCGTGTTCCTGTTGCGCCATCATGTGCCGCGACGCGGCTTAAAGCATGTTGTGTGGGAGTGGGAGGTGCTGTCCCGTGCAGTGTGCGTCGCGAGCAGTGCCGATCGCGCGAAGACCTTTGCTTCCAGTGGAGTTTTCGGTTTGGGTGCGTTCGCCGCAGCATTGATGGCATCACTGATGATGTGCTGACTGGAAGTTTCAGCTGTGCGATAGGGCTGCACTTCGGAAGGAGGCTTTGCGAGTCAACGTCGTTGCGCCGCTGGCTTTGACCAAGGCCAGGAGACGCACGAAATGTGGGAAGCTTCGGAGTTTGTGTGTGTGTCTGTGCGTGTGGGTGTGAGTGTGTGCAGCAGCTTGGGTCTGCAGAGGCCTTGCTTCCTCGACTACATGGCGGTCGTGTCCTCCACCTTGGAACATCGGTGGCGTCGCTTGTCCGCGGTAAAGAAATATGTAAATTTGGAAATGCAGAATCGCCCACATCTGGTTTGTCCCGCCTTGCTCGTTGATAGCGTTCTTTGCGCGCTATCGGATTTTACTGGTCTCTCTATTTTGGATTTCCCGTTGTTAATGCCTTCCTCGTTTTCGGCCACGATTTTGTCTCGCATATTGAAATTTCAGCAAACTTTGCTCTTCTTTTTGCAGCTGACAGACAGTTCTTTCGATGTATTTCGCTTAAGAGCAATGGCAACCCAGAGCCCGAGCCGCTCCAAAACATAATCCGAGTAAGCCGTTGCAAGGCCCATACAAAAAAGGAATCGCTCCCCGGTTTCCAAAGCGCACGAAGATCTCAGCCGACACTCACGACCGATCAAGTGAGCGCCAGACTACATGGGGCATGGCGAACCTTCAGCCCGGTAGGGAATGATGGGTGTTCAGTGTACGAAGCGGCTGCTGTTGCCCGTACGTTTGTCTGGTCCCACAATATTGCATGGCCATTTCTTCGACAGCAAACAACGCCTGCTGGACCAGCACGCGCGATTCGCAGTTGGCAAGTGTTCTGGGCAGAGCGCTTGCACCGCAGCTGTGGTGTTTACCGAAAGACAAGTTGCAGCGCTGTCTAGGTCGATGCATCCGAGGAGAAGCATAAGATACGAGAGCTCTGAGGTTTCTCTGCTTCGCTCTGTCAGCGATTCCTCCAAACTGTATGGCCTCACCACGTTCCCAAACAAGCATTTCGAGTTGAACACAACGGGCCAGCATATGTTCATGTGTGTTGCATTCGACTAAATTGACCACCAGGTCCAGAAGCAGCCAGAGTATGTGTGGCTTGTACTCCGTGACACTCGTTGTGCATGGCTTGCCACGGGGTTTGGAGGCATCGGCCGCAGCGTGGGACCGCGACGTGTGCCAACAGATGTCGTAAGCGAGGTTTGCAGTGGCGATCTGGATGTTGCCGGTGCCGATTCCCATGTTTCAGCGTCATCGTTGCGCCCACATGTTGCAGGTACGGAATCACTAAAGCCGCGTTCTTCCGGTTGTTCCAGCAGCTGAGCCTACGAAGCAACCAGTGTGCAGCAGCTGCCCTAGAGTCAGACAGCATGAAATGGCAATGTAAATAGCCGTGTTGCAACATGTATCGGACCCCTTGTATCCAAAGAGCGCGTGCATCGTTGGAATCAGGAATGCTGAGGGCTTGGATGTCGCTGTCGGTTCGTTGAGCCCAGGCTCGACCGGCTGCTTCTTGACTACAGCTGTATTGTTAAAAGCTAACAGCTAGTATCATACGCATTCATGGCATGTGATGTGCAGTGTGTCACGTGGAAGCAAACGCCAAACCAGTTGGAGCATATTTCATAGCTAACAACCTTTACAAACATACTGAGACAACAGACATTGGAGCTTCTTGCGTGACACATTAGGGATACCGCAAACAGACATACAGACCGCAGAAAGCAGACGCAGAGGACCCCAGAAGCAATTGAGTAAACGCATAAGTGTATGTACCAATACAAACGTAGTACGCATACACACATACATACACATACATACTTACATACATACACATACATTCTCTCACACACCGGTACGCAGATACTTATGTACGTGTACGTACATACGTACATACATACGTACAGAAGTAGACATCTCTGTACATGCAAGCGCATATTCACATGTGAGTGTATATGAATACGTAATAATACGTATAACGTATACGTATGCACATGCATGTATGTATAGGTGAAGGTAGTGGTCCTTCAGGCTATCTGAAGGTGCAGGTATAGTTATGTTTAGGTGTCCGTCCAAGTCCAGGTCTATGCTTTTGAGAGAGCATATATATATATATATATATGCACATACGCACATACATACATAGAAACCTGTATCTAAACCTGTTTTAGTATCTACATCTATGTCTTTATCTGTATCTATATTATTTGATTCTCTCTCTCTATATGTGTTTATATGTATGCATTGTAGATATATGCACAAACATATGTATACGAGGTCTGCATTTCGGTGTTATATGATATGTGTGTTTTTCGGTATGGAGGCGTGAGTAGGTGGCAGACACAAACACACACTAAATTTACACGCGCAAACTCAGAGATATGTATGTAAATAAATATAGATATATATCTATATATATATATATATATACATACACTTGTATGCATATATGTATATATGCATATAGGGATGTAGGTATAATGGTATATAGGGCTGATAATGGCATATATTTTTCTGGTGTATAGTTCTATATGTATATAGGTATGTATGCACATATATATATATATGTATATTGTATGTATATGTATATTTATATATGTATGTATATATGTTTGCATGTGTATATGTCTGTGTGTACATTATATGTACATATGTTTATATGTGTATGCTTATATGTATATTGTATTATTCATATATTTGTGTATTTTGATATATTTCTGTGATGTATATAGGTATACATGATGTATATATGCACCTATGCTGTATGTATGTATGTATGTATGTATGTATGTATGTATGTATGCACGTACCAGATATTTAGACATTTATGTGTGCCGGCACTGTGCGTATGCCCCGGTGCGCATAGGTACGCACATGCGGGAGTTATAAGAAGATAAGGGGTGGGTTGGCGGATAGATAGATAAATAGACAGAACGTACCTGGGCGGTTCCACGAAAGCCAAGCTTCGTGCGGCAGGCTTGGTGGACACTGAGGGAGTCAGAGATCACGTGGCCAAGGCAGCAGTTCACCAGCATCCATTTTTGTTTCTGCTGTTGCTGCGGCTCTGATTTTGTGGACCTGGCTGCATGGGAGGCTCGGAGTTTAGATCTGCCTCATGTGTCTTTCTTCGACCAAGCATTCGAGCAGGCGAGGTGTTGAATGCTGCAATGTACTGACCGCGTTTACGGCTTGGTGGTCCTCTATGCAAGTTCTCAGTGCTCGATGATCGACGCTGATCGAATCATCTCCGATGCAGGGCTGGACCACTAACATGGACCAGCTGATGAACTTTGTCGACGAAGTTCTGCGAATGCCCGATGAGCAGTTCATATCGCAGGCCGGTGTGACACGCGCACGGGTTTCGAGGTGTCACGGCATCAGCTCCCTTGCCCTTCCATGCCTCATGAGTTTTCAGCCCTGTTGCAACAGGAGTGGCGGTTTTCTGAATGGCGGGCGGAGGCATGCTTGTCTTATGTGTTCATCTCCTTTGTCAGCCACAGTCCGCGCTCAAGTTATTGAAATGTCATTGGTGCTTTTGTGCCTAGAAAGGTGGAGCGGCAAAGCGTGCCCCAGAGTGAAAGCTCGTTGTGAGCGAGATGTAAGGCTTACGAGTTTCGCAGATGCGTGGCGGTGTGGCGCGGTGACGACTGGTACGATTAGTTTCGGACCGAGCACGACGTGCGGTTGTCGCGAAATGTTACAAGATTTATAAGGTTGCTGCTCGTCAAGACAGCTATGTTCCTGCCTAAAAGACTTTGCGTTGCGATGCCGCCTGTCAGGTCTGCTAATCCCAGAGTCATGCGCACCGCTTCTGCGATGGAAAACAAAGCGATGCTTCGAAGAATCCAGCATGTACAACCGTTC